GTGCTCACTGTCTGGCTATAGAGAGAGGACGACACCGACAGAGATAGCAGCAGAAAGAGCTGGAGACAGAGGAACATTTCTTACTGCACTGTGATTACTATCACAACATTAGAGCTGCACATTTCCCCAAATTCCTACTAATTAAACCACATTTTATGGCATTACCAAATACATTTTAGGGGAAGATTCCAAAATGATGACAATAGCAGCAAGATATGTATCAGCCTGTCACACACTCAGACTGTCAGCCAGTGGACAAAACTGAAGCAAGAGCATTTCTCACATGTACTGTTGTGCAATTTATTTATTCATTTATTTTTATTTTTTAAACAATGTCTTTAATATTTTTCTTGTTTGTGAAAAGAAAAAAAAAAAAAGTACATGTACTTATTTACTTCATTATTTTACATATCTATTGTTGTTTTGTTTATGTATTTGTTTATTCATGTAATGGACAATGAAAAACTCAATTTTATATGTAATTGAGAGAGAGAGAGAGAGAGAGAGAGAGAGAGAGAGAGAGAGAGAGAGAGAGAGTGAGTGAGTCTTTGTGTCTGTGTGTGTGAGAGACCTGAGCGTGTGTCGTTGCTCGGCGGGGCCAGCAGCTCCCTCAGATGCGAGTCTTTCAGATCCTCCACCCAGCTGAGGTCCAGCAGCCGCAGACAGGGACACACAGACTGACAGAGCGCTGAGACCGAGGACCACGAGCAGCCCGCCACGTTCAGCTCCAGCAGCCCTGAGGAGCACAGCAGCAGCAGCACACATTCACTACATCTGCTCTGCTGCCAAGCCCAGGTCTCCATGCATCATTATTCACACAAGACTCACTGCGCTAACCTGACTTCTGCTGCTTCCAGCACAGCTCAGCGCGGAATGATCATGAGCAGATGTAGCAGAGCAAGGGAAAGTGCTCAAAAGCACCCAGATATCGTTTCATTCTTTAACTTCTGGATAATGATTCATGATATACAATTTGGACAAATGCTTTGATCCAGTGTGACTCAACTGAATGAGCTACAGGAATGCTCCCTTGATCTAAATATGAGCATCAAATTACACATTTAAAATCATTCTGTTTCCTTCGTTACTTCGGTCAGACCAGTTGGAACACAGCAAAAAATGATTTTCATACTTAATATCTTTGTCTTGTTTTCTAGTATAAATATCTAAACATTCTTGAATCACGATGAATTTACTTTACAAGTAAAAGGACTTACGATATTATGTCTTTTCTAAAAAAAAAAAAAAAAGATCAAGATTTTGCTTAAAAGCAAAAATATCTGCCAAACAAGATTATTTTTCTTGCCCCACTGGCAGATATTTTTGCTTCTTTTAAGCAAAAACTATCAAAATCTTTTTTTTTGCATTTGCCAGCTGATCTATATTTCCTATCACTCCTGATATGTGCATGGGTCTCCATCAGTCAGGCCTGAGATCCTACCTTGCAGACGGTTAATGAGCCACATGAGCTGTTTCTTGGAGATGTTGGTGTAGCCCAGGTTGAGACACACAGGCTGTCGACGGATTATACTGCTCAGCATGGGAGGAGTTATGGAGCGCTGGCGGCTCAGATCGATCTGAGTCCATAACCTCTTATCACAGCACCTGCACACAAACACACGCGTCAGACGTCTGGCAGAACAGACATTTATATACATAGTAAAATCACTGATGCACTGCTGCAAAAATAACTTTGACCACAACAAACATAGCAATGTACAGTGAATGAATGGCAAGATTTACTAGTTATTAATTTTATAAATAATTACAACTGCATTTAAAAACATATTTTGACACGAAAATTCAAGTACGTTTCGGTTACACAATTTTATAATTTATTGTTATCATAATAGTAAGTAAATGTGACTAGGACAACAAATAAAGTGTTACCTATATTAATCTATTAGTCTGCATGGCTTGAACATCTGCTTTGTTAGTGAACATCATTATATTTTTCTCCCATTCATGAGGGGTTTATGTCCCGCCCGATACTTTGCTGCTTGTACAGGTTACAATGGCCCTTAGCAGCATGAAAAACAACACTTCTGAACGGATTAGATTTAGCCTAGAAATTGCGCAAACAGCCCTTACTTTATAATCACTAAAGAGGCTTCACTTAGCTTCAGTTCATCTCAATCTCACAAAGTTCCTTTATGGTCATTATAAAGCAGAAGCGTCAGAAGAAGAGCAGCTGACTGATGACTGGTCAATCCCTGTCTACGGCTCGAGACACAGACATGACATCCTCACAGCAGCACACAGGAGAACAGATGCATATGCTCGATTCACAACTGTCATCGTTACAGGGCAGCCGGTGTCATTTCTGCGGTTTAGTGTCAATAAATGCTGTTTCAGACTGAAGAGGAAGGTTTCCAGAGTATGTACAAGAGGTCGACTGATAGTGGATTTGACGAAACCGATAGCTAGGCTAGACCAAACTGGCCAATACGGATTAATCAACCGAAATGGATACTGAACGAAAACTAAAATAGTGCTCTATTAAAAAAAATTTAAAAAACGGCTCTTTTGTTGATTTTGATTGCTTCCATTGTCCTCATTTGCAAGTCGCTTTGGATAAAAGTGTCTGCTAAATGATAAATGTATATGTGATGGACATTGGTTATGATCATTTTTGTATCTACTTTAAAGGCATCTTGAGTAAAACGGCTTCAAATTTAACGAAGCGTTTGCAAAACACTTGAATGGAAGCAGCGAGACCTGTTTAACAGAAGTCTGTGGCGTGGCAGGATTTTCTGTCGGCTGTGTTTCTGATCTGCATCTGAAGTTTCCCGCTCTGTGCAGCACACGTGTCAAAACAAACAGCACAAGGTGTCAGTGATTTCTGCCTCTAGAGGCCGTTCTCGCACTGTATAATGACAGCAGACCTTTCTCAGTCGCTCCAGCAACAGACATAACCCAGAAAACTATCGGCATGCATTTCTGCAGATAACCGGTAGTTCCAGCTAACAACTATCAGTGCTGACCTCTAGTATGTACTTTGCACTTGTTTTGTTTGTACTGTTAAAGGGGACATCAGGTGCAAAATTCTCTTTTACATGGTGTTTGAACATGAATGTGTGTACACAACCACCCTATAATAATAAAAACTAGGGCTGCACGATAAATCGCATGCGATATTTAATGCGCATCTTATCAGTAAAGCCGGTTCTGTAATCAGCGGTAAATCTCCAACACCTGCGTGCTTTCACATTGAGCAGCATTAACTACACAGAGCCGTTGTTCACTGACGAGCTGCGCAAAACCACATTCATATTCACTCTATTTTTTTGCACAGCTCGTCAGTGAACAACGGCTCTCAAATCTCCATCACCCGCAGGTGAAACCCAGCCAGTTTCCAATAATAATGATCACTTTCTCAGATTCTTGACCCAGGCCCCTCCCACGATAGTTGATTGACACTGGTGTTTTATCACAGCTCCGCCCTGAGTGAGCTGTAGACAGTCCTCCATTGTTTCACCGCCGGAGCAGATGTAGACAAGAACGACTCCTAAGCAATTGAGGTGTTCTGTTGTTGGATGTAATATTAAACATAGCAGTCATCGTTTACTCCCGACATTTGAGCCGCTGAAGACGCAGTGGATTACGTTTGTTTCTGAAGGGAATGCGCCTCCGATCTGCCTAAATGTGTTTATGTTCACGCGAATCATTCGTGATCCAGCTTCATCTACAGAAGAAGTGAGTATAAGCTTCTTTAATGAATCTTTGCAAATCGCCTTGCCTAATAACGTGCTAGTTAGCGAGTTCCGCGGCTAAAGTAAACAGTCTCATGAGAACAGCTCGTCACTCCACGGAAGAGAGGGGCGGGGTCAGCAGAGCTCATTAGCATTTAAAGGGACATGCACCGAAACGGCTCGCTGTGAACAGAGCTGTTTTTGACAGGGTAAAAAGGGTGTTGTTTTACACTACCATTGAGAACCTTTAACCAAAGTATGTTATAAACTTTTCATTAAGACCCTAAAGAATCATATCAACTTGTGGAAAACGGGCATCTGGTGACCCCTTTAAAGTGTGAGTGTGTTGTCGGTGTGGTGTCTGGTCCCTCACCAGCGGCTCCAGGTGCGGCACACTCGCATGCAGACGCACAGCTGGCGCTGGCTGAGGTGCTGAAAGACGCGGAGCCAGACGTCCCGGGGCAGCACGTGCGATGCTCCGCTGTCCAGCGGCAGGCAGTGTGGCTCAGGGCAGGCCGGCGGTGGGCGCACGAGGTGTCGCTCCATCTGCAGCGGCCGCGGCGGAGAGGGCACGGCCACGGCGCTCCTCTTCAGCAGCTGCGAGCGCGGCGGCGCCAGCGAGACGCTCCCCGGGTGAGAGCCGCCGTTGGGCGCGCCGGATCCGGCCGTCGCTGTGCTCTTGTTCCAGGGAGTGCTCTGGCCCTGCCGGCCTGCTCCACGGATCCTGCTCCCGCGGACGGCCTTCCCGGCAGCGTGCCGGTGATTGGAGACGGCGCTGCTGTTGGAGTTCTCCTTCTCCTGCAGCTCTCTGCCACTCACCCGCGTGCGGCCGTTGCGCGCGTCCTGTCCGTTAGTGCGCTTGGACGAGGACAGGCCCTCGGGGCCCGCTAAGTGTCCGTAGCTCGGCGGCTGCGTAGCCGAGAGTGGTGAGGATGGGGCCAGGGCTTTGTGAGCGCGGTCGCCCGAGCCTTCCTCGTCGTCGTCTGGCTCAGCCTCGGCGAGCGTCCTCCGCAGCCGGGTGCTGGTGTCTCCCCTGCGGCGCTGCGTCTGCGGCTCGTCCTCCTGCTCCTGCACCACCACGCTCTCGCCCTCGGACTCCTCGCTGGCGCTGAAGCCAAGCTCGGCCAGACGCCGGCTCCGCTCGCGCGCCGTGCCGCTGCCGTACGCCGGAGAGGACGGCTCCGAGGCGCCCGCAGGGGACGGGGAGTCCGAGTCGGACTCAGAGTCGGTTTCGGAGCTGGAGGAGGACGAGGAGCTGGAGTCGCGCACTCGCTCCAGGAGCTGGCACATGCGCTTGAAGCGCTCCAGTTTCTCACGGTGATGTGAGCGCTGGTCCTGGCTCGGCGTCAAGGCCTGCGCTGCGCTGGAGCCGTGTCCACCGCCTGATGAAGAGTTCGGCCCGTTCGCTTCAGAGGAGTCCGACGAGTTGGGTTTGGCTTTCTGCTGAAGACGTTAAAGAAAGAGAGTTACTCTAGCGAGATAAACTGACCACCGTGCATTTCATGTCAAGACTCAAGACTGTAGAGAAGAGAACAGGCGTACCTTCTTCAGGTGTTTATCACGGGCTCCTTTGATCTGTTGGGGACAAACAGAAAGACACACAGTGTTCATACTGTACTCTGAACTGACACCAACACTCCATCATTCATGACAGCAATGATCAGCAATGTTGCCAACTTCTTTCAATGGAAAGCAGCTAAAGTCTGCTCGAAATGTCGCTAGATGATGTCATACGTTAGTTTAGCATTAGCATCCGATATACAGTGCTGTGAAAAGGTTTTTGCCCCCTTCCTGTTTTTTTTACATTTTTTGCATATTTGTCACACTTAAAAGATTCAGATCAAACTAATTTTAATATTACACAAAGATAATGCAAGTAAATACAAAATGCAGTTTTTAAATTATTTAATTTAGTAAGGGAAAAAAGCTGTCCAAACCTACGTGAAAAATTAATTGCACCCTCCTGTTAAATCATGAAAGAACTGCAATTAACCACATTATTTTAGAAAGCTGAGTTACATTTCACTAGCCACACCCAGGCCTGATTACTGCCAGACCTTTTGAATCAAGAAATCACTTAAATAGAACCTGTCTGACAAAGTGAAGCATGCTTAAAGAGCAACACATCACGCCGCGATCAAAAGAAATTCAAGAACAGATGAGAATCAAAACAGTTGACATGTATCAGTCTGGAAAGGGTTATAAAACCATTTCTAAGGCTTTGGGACTCCAGCAAACCACAGTCAGAGCCATTATCCACAAATTGAGAAAACTTGTAACAGTGGTGAACCTTCCCAGGAGTTGCCGGCCAACCAAAAATGATCTGAATCTTTTAAGTGTGACAAATATGCAAAAAATAAAAAAAACAGGAAGGGGGCAAAAACCTTTTCACACCACTGTAAACACTATTAAAAAAAGCCTTGTAAAAACTGCCAAGAATGCCCACAACAGACGTCTGTTCATACAAACTTATGAAAAATGTATTTGCCAAGTCTATGACACCTCATATAAAACCATACAATATTTTAGAAAAAAAACACCATAAATTAATGTTCACCTTTTATTTGTATTTAGCCTTCATACAAACAAGAAATGTGAGATCACTGTCAAATAACTGTCTCACTCACCTAATTAATATTAATATCTTTAACTTCAAACTATAGCCTAACATACACTACCAGTCAAAAGTCTTTGAACAGTAAGATTTTTAATGTTTTTAAAGAATTCTCTTCTGTTCACCAAGCCTGCATTTACTTGATCCAAAGTACAGCAAAAACAGTAATATTGTGAAATATTTTTACTATTTAGAATAACTGTTTTCTATTTGAAATTTTTTTTAAATGTAATTTATTCCTGTGATTTCAAAGCTGTATTTTCAGCATCATTACTCCAGTCTTCAGCGTCACATGATCTTCAGAAGTCATTCTAATATGCCGATTTGTTGCTCAAGAAACATTTATTATGATGTTGAAAACAGCGGAGTAGAATTTTTTTCAGGTTTCTTTGATGAATCGAAAGTTCAAAAGAACAACATTTATCTGAAATAGAAATCTTTTGTAACATTATAAATGTCTTTATCATCACTTATGATCAATTTAAAGCATCCTTGCTAAATAAAAGTAATTTCTATCATTTCTTTCCAAAAATAAAAAATAAATCATACTCCTTTGACAGGTAGTGTAGGCTGATTATTCTTATAGATTGAAACAAATCTGCTTTAGCCAGTATAAAGGGTATGAAAAATGAAAAGAGTTGCTGCAGAAAAAAAAGAGCAACAACAAAAACATGTTGCTGGAGACGGGCTTATTGAAGATGCAAACTGATTGTCTGCCAGCAGGAGGCGCTGTTAGTGATAAAACTAGCGGTTTGTAAAGTAACGGCTGTAATCAACACAGCTCTGCACATGAACGCTTCTTTATCAGATAAAATAGAAACTTTTCTGAAAACAGTCCTTTCCCTTCAGAGATTCATATAAAACACCTGCGACGTGTTATGATTTTGAAACGTGCAGTGCTCATGTTTATTTAACGAAGTCAAACGCCACAAATAAATCAATGTATGTTTAATAACAGGTGCTGTCACATTTACTCTTGCATTGAAAAATCTTTTTTTTTTAATCTCAGTGGTAATCCACGCAATGAGGAATTTCACCTGATGGGCTTCAGGTGTTAGAGAAACGCCCCTATGTTCACGTTTGGTGAAGTCTGACACATGAGTTTACAGCGTTGAGGGTTTAGTCACTGTGTGTAGGTGCTGATTTACACTGACCGTTCAAGTTCATTCAGTTCAAGAATATGCAGTGCTGCTCACAAATCTGGCTGTTCGGAAAGCAGTTCACATGCTTGGTCATGTCTGGGATGTCTCTGTGATCTGACTGCACCTTCAACATACGACTCCAACACACATTCCTTTCCCCTGATTTACATTTAAATGCAGCCTTTTATGAAATAACAGAGACCTTTTTGGTAACTATATATAATAATAACTAGGGATGTGCATCATGACTAATTTCATTAACATTAAAGCAGAACATTTTCCAACCGTCTAGTCCAACAAACCCCCAGAAGATCAATGTATTTTCAAACTTAAGCATTCACTTAAACATCGTTAGCCAATACGGACGTTTTTATTCAAATCAACTGAATCAATAGACTCAACAGCCTGTGATGAACAGAACTGCTGAAATAAATGTTAGTCAGCACATATATGGTTGTTTGCTGTTCGCGATCACTGCATCCGGGTCGAACACGCTTCATGTGAATGAAAGCATCTGTGACAGATGGCAAAATCTCAAGAAAAGCTTGACGTGTTCTGGCAACTGTAAGTTATTTAAGAGTATTCTATTCATTAGGATACTGATATAACAACTCTTGTTGTCAAGTACGTTTCACTCATAGTGTTTCCCCTTTAAACCAGTATAACACAACCAGTATTGTCCCTCATAACCAGTAGTACAGAAGCAAGATTCATTTTAATATGCCAATTTGACATAAGATAAAATATTCCCTCGCTTTGCTCATCTTCCCAGTGTACCTTTCTCCGAAACCGCCTCGATGGAGAAAACTAACATATGCAGGTGCCTCAAAATAACAGGACTTTGTTTTCCACTCCAAATATATATGAAGTATTAATAAACTAATTAATATTAAACTAATTATGCATAATTACATGCAAGTAACACTAAGCCAAACCCTAAACACATAGTAAGTACACGTAGTTAATTAATTACTCAGTACCTAAATGTATAATTACACTGTAACAAGGACACCTTAAAATAAAGTGTAACCAAGTATTCTTTTTTAAATGTATCAGTAACATGACAGCAATTTGAATAAAGCCTTTGAAAATATATAAAGAAAAAGTGTCGACTAGCAGTCGCAGTATTGTTTAGTTGAGCAGTGCCTAATAATAACTAGTTATACGAAGGGTGACTCTCTCTCGCTCTCTCCGTTTGATTTGGCTCTGCTCAAGAAACGAGCTGAATCATGAGCGTGCAGCAGTAACCAGGAAGCACTTGCTCTGCGTTACTCGCCTTCTTCTTGGAGCCGCTCTCCTGGGGAAGCTCCTTGTCCTTCTTGCGTCTGGCTCCGTCTTCCAGAGACAGGCTCTTCTTCTTACTGGGAGGCGGCTCATCCGTCAGCTTCCAGCGACTCACCTCCCCATTGTCCATGCGCCTCTTCCCCAAACCGTCTCCTTGATCCTAAACGCCAGACGGACTCCTGCATTACTATTATTATACCCACGTTTAGGTAAATATGTAACGAGCTGGAAACTGTACAGCTATAATGCACTTCCATATATCCTTTAAAGGCACTTTTGCTGGAAAGATGGCATACGATGCAAAACATTACTGACTCTTTTGTACTTTTCTACACATTCTTACTAGTGCTTCCATGAAAACTCATTTTTGCAATTCTGCACAGTAGGGCTGTCAAAAAATTTTTGAATTTTGAATATTCGTTGAATTTAAAATAAAAATCCACATTTGAATGCAAAAGCGTAGCATTAGAATGCTAGGTGTGCGTCAGGCAGCTTTATCAGTGGCACTCGAGACGCGATGACGATGAAGGTGTTTTGCATTGTAATGCTTTTGTTAGTCTATCCAGCTGAACCCATAAGATGCGGCGCTGTTCATTCTAAATACTGCGGAGAAAGAGAACATCAATGCGGAGAAGAAAACTGAAACCAAGCCGTTCACACAGAACACATATTTATGGCATTCTCTAGAACAGCGGTGGCGAACTCCGGTCCTGGAGAGCCGCAGCCCTGCAGAGTTCAGCTCCAACCCTAATTAAAACTCACCTGCCTGTAGCTTTCTAGTAACCCTTCAGACCTTGATTAGCTTGTTCAGGTGTGTTTGATTAGGGTTGAAGCAAAACTCTGCAGGTCTGCAGCTCTCCAGGACTGACGTTCACCACCCCTGCCCTAGAGGGACATCTATCACTGTTTCACTCGCGTCTCGCACAAGAGAGAAAGCCATGGGAAATTAATGTAAGTTCAACTTTTAAAAAACATGTCTCGAGACTTTATGGCGGCTTCCCCATCCCACTGTATCTCTTGTTTTTAAATGAAGTACTCTGTGTGATTGGTTTTCAGTCCTTTGTATTAAACTATACATACATGATGCTGTTTAGTTTCTAATTGTTTAAGCAACTTTATTAAATATATATGGTTTATAAACATTATTTCAAACATTATGCAATTTTTTCAAAGATAGTCATGTTATTTTATTGCTTTGAATAAACGTGCATTAGTAATATTTAGCTCGATGCGTCCTCTTGTGGCCTCAGGAGAGAAGCCAAAAGCTTTTATTCCCCCCTAACTGAAATTGTGCCTTTTAATTTTGAATACAATTCAAATATTGATAATAGTCAAGCACAAAAATTTGAATTTAGTTTTTCAGCCATTTTGACAGCCCTACTGCACAGTAAACATTTTGATAAAAATAAAAAAATTCAAACATGAAAACATGATCTCGGTCACAAAACATAGAATACGTAGCATAAAACTAGACCTCTAAACAAGGTGTGGAAATGGATGCAGACAATCAGTGAGTGTAAAGATTCAGTGTTTAGAAACGGCGAGAGTCTGTAGGGTCTGTAGGGTCTTACCTTGCTGGTCTTTCCCTCCTTGTGGCACTTTGGACATTCCCAGCAGTTTGGGATCTCATCATTAATAATGCCTTCAGCCTTGCCCATCTGAGGAGAGACAGTTCATCAGCAGTGTTACCAGCAGCCGCTTCAGCTGCTTCACTCCCAGTGTGTGGCACAAACCTTCAGGCAGCTGGGGTGGATGATCTCGTTGCAGATGGTGCACTCCATGAGCGAGAGGCTGAACTTCTCCTCCTCCGACTCCACCGTGTCCTCCTTCCCCGCTTCTCCGCAAGCAAAACACACGGCTGTGTGCGGCAACACCGGCTGAGGAGAGCAAAAACCCGGAAGCAAGTTAGCATTTTAGCACTTCCGGTTCTATCCTCCCAGAGTAAATGGGTTTTTTTAATGGGAGTTTGGTTAAATCCCCTAAAATAAGGTCCGTGGTTCACTCAAGCTCAAGATACGTTTATGTTTTATTCTGCAGCATAAAACACACCAGTTACACCCCACTCGTGATGTTTTAAACGGTTACATTTCTTAGAGACATATTATGCCCCTTTTTACAATATGTATTATAAGTCTCTGGTGTCCCCAGAATGTGTCTGTGAAGTTTCAGCTCAAAATACTCCACAGATCATTTATTACATCATTTTGAAAATGCCTATTGTGACGAGAGGGGCGGGGCCGAGAGCCGTGGGAACGGAGCGAGGCCGGTGGAGTAATTGATAATGAGCTACACCTGCACCACTCACCGGTCTCGAGTCTCACGAAGGAGTGACAACAGTGAAAGACGAGAGAGGACCAGGCCTGGAGTTTATTTTGTGTTTTGTTTTTGCGCGACAGTCGTCCGCGAGGGGCTGTCGCGCTGTTTTGCATTTATTTTATTATTAAAGTTTTAGGAGTGACAACAGTGAAAGACGAGAGAGGACCAGGCCTGGAGTTTATTTTGTGTTTTGTTTTTGCGCGACAGTCGTCCGCGAGGGGCTGTTGTGCTGTTTTGCGTTTATTTTATTATTAAAGTTTTACTTAAATGTTTGCCGGTTCCCGCCTCCTTCTTCCCGACCTACAAATGACGTTACACCTATTTTGAGTGGAAGCAGAAACAAGCTGTTTTTCAGGCCTGTCTCTTTAAATGCAAATGAGCTGCTGCTCCCCGCCCCCTTTTCCAGAATAGAGCTGCGCCATTACAGCTCGCACCTGCTAAAAACATCTGTTTTGGTTCTGATTATGTTTATCACGCTGAAATCATGCGTTTTAAACCATATGAGTGTAAACTTCTGAACACGTTTCCTCGGTTGGTAGATGCACCGGGGACCTGATTATAGCTCTTACAACCTGGAAAAGTCAGATTTTCATGATATGTCACCTTTAAAAAACACGGTTGTTTACAAGTTGCTAAATGGGACTACAGGCGCTTTCGGAGTCATTAAACATCATCACGCCGAACAGTTGATCAATTTACAGTATTTTCCAATCGTAGTGTATATAATGAAGGGAAAGCCTCAGAGAGTGTGTGGAGTGTGCAGTGGTTTAGTTTGAGGTCTGGACTCACCGCGGTGCACTGGCGGAGCAGACAGGACTGCTTCATCCGGCCCGGTCCACCGAACTTCTTCATGTCCTTGCAGAAGTGGCACTCGCCGCACTCGGTCCTCATACACGCCTGACAGCGCCGGCACCGTGTCCGCCGCCGCCGCGCCCCCCCCAGCACCTTACTGCCAGACATCCCCTCTGCATTCAACTGCAGAACAACACAGTGACAGCACAGCTCACAGATCTGCCAGACAAACACCACGCTTGACCTGCATTACTACAGCTGCGCACCACAACACTCTCACTGAACGAGTCACAGTACATTACACAGAATAACCCCACAATAATACCCTTCTTGAGGCTACACTAATGTTTTTAGCTCTATAGTATTTGCCTGATAAACGCTCATCCAGGACACAGATTCTCTCATTCGCTCTATACACACAAACACGTGTCAGAAGAGGGATCTGGCGCCATCTTGAGACTCACTGACAGACGGCTAGCGAATCAGGAGTCTCTATTTACAGCAAGAACCCAACAACACAGTTTAGAAGAGCAATTAGACTGAAAGAACTGAAAATAGAGTGGTAGACATGTACGTTAGGTCACAGAGTATATTCTGACTGAAGCACTGCTCTTGATGAACTCCTGATCGTGGATGGACAATGTCCTGCTCTCTGATGAACATGTCCAGTCCCTTCAGAGAGAGGTTTCTCAGCCAGAGCCATGCTAAACATCTCAACTTTTCCTCTGGATTATTCTGAAGGGAGAATGAAATCTGACTGATCACCGATTAGGAAATTAAAATGAATCCTAGCTATTTTCTTCATGCATGTTACCAGCCTCATTGTGAATTATTAATCCATGCATATTTTGGACCTTGTAATCTTATAATCCTTAATAAAAATGTCATGACCTGCTCTTCCTGTGATGTGACACATTAATTAAAAAATATATAATGATGGGTGTGGAAGAATCATTTATTTAATATAAAAGTCCATTTTGATTTCATGGTAAATTTAACTACATCATATGATGTAAATATAAGCTAAAATCTCATACGGGACATTTTTGCCTCAATATCTTGAAAGTTGGGTTCATTCTAACAGGCTACATCTCACACTGAATGCACAGACTCTTAAAGGGGCAGATCACCCAAAACTGAACCTTTGCTGTTCATTTACTCACCCTCAGGCCATCCAAGATGTAGGTGACTTCTTTCTTCAGTAGAGGAGCAAAGAAGATTTTAGCTGAAACCATTGTCCTTGGTGATTCATTAAATGCAAGTCAGCGGCTGCCTGTTTTTGAGAATTAAAAAAACATATCAATGAACACAAAATTAATACCCGTGGCCCCAGACGATATATTGAGGTCTTATGAAGCAAAACGATCGATCTGTGCAAGAAACTACAAGTTACTCAATCTAAACTCACTTTCAGACGCCTGACAGTCACTCTTCAGGATTCAAAATGAGCCGAAATACATTACATTTAGTCATTTAGCAGACGCTTTTATCCAGAGCGACTTACAAATGAGGACAATAGAAGCAATCAAACTCAACAAAAGAGCAAAGATATGCAAGTGCTATAACAAGTCTCACTTAGCGGACAAGTTACTCAATCTAAACTCACTTTCAGACGCCTGACAGTCACTCTTCAGGATTCAAAATGAGCCGAAATACATTACATTTAGTCATTTAGCAGACGCTTTTATCCAGAGCGACTTACAAATGAGGACAATAGAAGCAATCAAACTCAACAAAAGAGCAAAGATATGCAAGTGCTAGAACAAGTCTCAGTTAGTGTAACACAGCACATGTAGCAAGGTTTTTTTTTTATTATATAATGAAAAGAAAACAGATAAAATAGAAAACGAATAGAGCAAGATAGATATATAGAGAGAGAGAGAGAGAGAGAGAGAGAGAGAGAGAAATAGCGGCGTATCTGATCCTGTGATGTATGAACTGATTCAGCTCCAGTTCCTACAACAGTCAATGAACTGAGGAAACGGTTCGACTCGGACCGAAGACCGATGAGCCGCTGATATTAGGGTGTGAACCGAATACTTCGAAATTAACCCTTTTATGGTTTCTCATTGTTTATGTAAAAAGGTGAGCTGATAAAGTCTAGTTTATTCACTTTATATGCTAAATTAGACATGAAAAACATCCACGTTTCATCATTATTGGGTGCTTCAAAGGCACAATATGCAAGGTTTCGCCACTAGAGGTCGCATTTTCAAAACACTAACAAAGGGGAAGCTTGATGAAGGAGGATGTTGAGGAGGAGGTAATGAATTATTACCTTTTTTTATTATTATCTGTACTTTCCACAGTTAATCAAACAGCAAATAAATTATACAGCGAATGCGAGCAAAGAACATTTACATTGTCAAAGAACATTATGACTGACTTCAGTCACTCTCAAAAAACTACATTTATAATCAGTAAAGCAGTCTATACACGGTTTGAATGAATCTCTTACATCATACGTACATCTGCACTTTGTTGTTTATGATGAGAGAATTCACGTGAGCTGAATTCAGTCGGCGAGCAAAAAATGTATCTGAACGCCACTGATTGGCCATTGCATTCATAACCTCAACAGACTCGTCTGTGATTGGTTCTAATGCGCAACACTGTAAAAACGCATAAAAAAATCATAGCGCAACATTGAGCAGATCTAAATGTAATGGTGCGGTAAACACTTTTCTTTTAATTTTCACTTTATTCGTGACAGCCGTAATGTATTTAGTTTAACTGTACAGCAGCATTTGTGTCCGTGTGTTGCCATAGTTTCTACAAGCGGAAACTGAGGATATGCGGATACCACGTTATTGATAGGCGACAATGACCAGAGACGAGCCATTATTAAATTGGAATTTCTGTGGATTTACAAATCCATGGGAACTTTTGGGATAACACAAATACACAACCGCATGAAATATACCACACCGTCCAAGTAGTTTTTGGATCTTACACGAAAATCTTACATACTATGCCTTTAATAATATAATTGCATACAAGTTTCATCATTATGTGAACTGAACCCGTTCACTGAATCGAACTGTCTGAAAGAACCAGGTCACGGAAAATAATCAGACGTCCCTGTTTGCGTGAGGCTCTGGATCACAGGTAATAATGTTGTAAATGATGTTCAGTTTCTTGCACAGACCGATTGTTTCGTTTCATAAGACCTCAATATATCATCAGGAGCCACAGGGGCTCTTTTTGTGCTTCCTGATATGCTTTTTTTATTTTCAAAAAGGGGCAGCTGCTGACTTGAGTTTATGAGTCACCAAGAAGCCCGGTTTCAGCTAACAATCTCCTTGACTGATTTCACTACTGAAGAACAACTAAGTCACCTACACCTAGGGTGGCCTGAGGGTGAGGAAATGAGGAAATGCTCTTTTTTGGGAGGTGAACCATCCCTTTAATTGAGCGACACACTTGATAACAACAGCCCACACATCCTTAAATCAACAATCACCATATTATCGTAGACTGCATATATCGCACAGCCCCATTGTTAGGCAGTCTGTTCAAATGACATGGATCATGATTTGAGATCCTCCATAAGTTGATTGAAATCCAGTCATTATTCTTTTATGCAGTGTGCAAGCCAAAGACTAATAACTCTGTGTGGTGTTGGATAATGAGAGACAGCAACACGATCCTCCTGTGGCTATACAGTCAGATATAGCGTCAATAACTAGCTGCTGAATTACTGATTGAGCTGTGAGATTCATCTGTGAGGGTCTTGGGTATGATCTCCAACACATGCACACTTACAATTCACACGCACGCATCATGAAAACTGCATATTGCATTGAAGTACTACCGAGTGTCACATTTGCTTATTTTAGGGGTTTAAGAAAGCAACATAAATGCACTTTTAGCATGATGACAGTGAAAGTATTCAGATAATGCCGGAGGGCAGCTCGTGGTCTCCTGGATGCACAGATTTACCCAGACGGGGACAGGGGAGTCTTGATCTCTCCGAGAAGCATTAGTGTGCTAACCGCACGACAGAACAACCAGAATCAAGTATTTCAGAGAGATCTGCTGGTCTTGATCACTGACACAGAACCCAATGGTTTTGACACACATTTACTGCGGCAACAACCACCAAAACACCAGTCAGGGGTCCCACATGGAGTCATGCTCATTTCAGTGACATCAGGGTGATATTTCATAACAGAAACTCTAATAAGTGTAGTGTTTGCGTGCAGTTACAGCGTCAGGTGAAGTACGGGCCTACAGTGAAGCTCGGGAAGATCAGCTCGGAAACAATGAACACGGCGGGGCTTCGCTAGGACCCAGCCTGCAGAGATTGAGCACGAGCACCGTGCTGACAGACAGTGCTGTCGCTAACAGCTAGCACAGCAGCACTGGCCACTCCGGTCTGGAGCAAGGCGTTATAATCAGACGCTCAGCTCCACAGACTCAACTAAACCCGACGAGCTAGCCGAGCAAACAGCGACTCACCTGCGCGCGCGGAGTCGCATACTGCTAGATCGCGCATTAGACTGATGCTGTCTGGCGACAGATGCACACAATGAGAGCGCGAGCGCTTCCTTGTTCCTCCGCTCGACTCTGCTCTTATCAGGCTCCTCTCACAGGCGTGCACGAGCTGCTGCTCTCGCCTCTCGCCTCTCGCTGGGTTTCTCCGAGGCTCTGTCTGGAAGACCCTCACCTGGGACCCAGAGGGCCGATGATTCCCGAGCGCTGCGCGAGAGCACGCATGCACGGATAAACGTGCCTTTGTTCGCTCTCGCTATTGTGCTCCTCTGTTAGGTGTGTGTTATCGAGACTAACGCATCTGCGCCGCATCAGCTCTCACGGCGCACTCTGCTCCTGCTCCTGGAAATCTAATAAATAAATAAATAAATATGGTAAATAAAAAATATGGAGTTTAAAAAAATAATAAAATACGAAAGCCTCTCGCCTCTCGCCTCTCGCTGGGTTTCTCCGAGGCTCTGTCTGGAAGACCCTCACCTGGGACCCAGAGGGCCGATGATTCCCGAGCGCTGCGCGAGAGCACGCATGCACGGATAAACGTGCCTTTGTTCGCTCTCGCTATTGTGCTCCTTCGCTCTCGCTGTGTTATCGAGACTAACGCATCTGCGCCGCATCAGCTCTCACGGCGCACTCTGCTCCTGCTCCTGGAAATCTAATAAATAAATAAATAAATATGGTAAATAAAAAATATGGAGTTTAAAAAAATAATAAAATACGAAAGCTCCTCCCGGTCTATTCGTCGCAGCCGAAAGGCATCATGGGAAATGTGGTCCATTAGTGCCCTACCCCAAAACATTCCTGTTAGTTATAATATTGCTGATTTTTTTATAGCACAATGCTTCAGATGTCATATCAGTTAAATAAATAAACATACAAAGTAGTGCTGTCAAACAATTAGTCGCATCCAAAATAAAATATTTTATATCATATTTATTGTATGCACAGTATAAAATACAAACACATGCATGTGTATATTTAATAGAAAAAATATGTTTATATATTAAATATATGTATATAAAATATAAGAATATAAATGTATATAGATGTAAATATTTTCAAAATATATACTGTGTGTGTGTGTGTGTGTGTCTATAATATATACATAATAAATATACACAGTACACATATATATTATGTAAATAAAACTTTTATTTTGGATGCGATTAATCGCGACTAATCGTCAGACAGCACTCTTGTTTTTAAATCAATACAGACAGCAGCAGCAGCACCATCAAGAATAATAATAGCCATCACTATGGAGTCAATATAATGCCACATACAGTCAAGTTTGAGCTTGCGATACCGTTTTCCCTTTGCGCTTCGGGTTCCTGCGCTTTACGTTCCTGCGCTTCACGTTCCTGCGCTTCGGGTTCCTGCGCTTCGGGTTTCTGCGCTTCAAGTTTCTGCGCTTCAGGTTCCTGCGCTTCACGTTCCTGCGCTTCCCGTTCCTGCGCTTCACGTTCCTGCGCTTCACGTTCCTGCGCTTCAGGTTCCTGCGCTTCACGTTCCTGCGCTTCCCGTTCCTGCGCTTCACGTTCCTGCGCTTCACGTTCCTGCGCTTCAGGTTCCTGCGCTTCACGTTCCTGCGCTTCCCGTTCCTGCGCTTCACGTTCCTGCGCTTCACGTTCCTGCGCTTCAGGTTCCTGCGCTTCACGTTCCTGCGCTTCCCGTTCCTGCGCTTCACGTTCCTGCGCTTCACGTTCCTGCGCTTCAGGTTCCTGCGCTTCACGTTCCTGCGCTTCCCGTTCCTGCGCTTCACGTTCCTGCGCTTCACGTTCCTGCGCTTCAGGTTCCTGCGCTTCACGTTCCTGCGCTTCCCGTTCCTGCGCTTCACGTTCCTGCGCTTCACGTTCCTGCGCTTCAGGTTCCTGCGCTTCACGTTCCTGCGCTTCCCGTTCCTGCGCTTCACGTTCCTGCGCTTCACGTTCCTGCGCTTCAGGTTCCTGCGCTTCACGTTCCTGCGCTTCCCGTTCCTGCGCTTCACGTTCCTGCGCTTCACGTTCCTGCGCTTCAGGTTCCTGCGCTTCACGTTCCTGCGCTTCCCGTTCCTGCGCTTCACGTTCCTGCGCTTCACGTTCCTGCGCTTCAGGTTCCTGCGCTTCACGTTCCTGCGCTTCCCGTTCCTGCGCTTCACGTTCCTGCGCTTCACGTTCCTGCGCTTCAGGTTCCTGCGCTTCACGTTCCTGCGCTTCCCGTTCCTGCGCTTCACGTTCCTGCGCTTCACGTTCCTGCGCTTCAGGTTCCTGCGCTTCACGTTCCTGCGCTTCCCGTTCCTGCGCTTCACGTTCCTGCGCTTCACGTTCCTGCGCTTCAGGTTCCTGCGCTTCACGTTCCTGCGCTTCCCGTTCCTGCGCTTCACGTTCCTGCGCTTCACGTTCCTGCGCTTCAGGTTCCTGCGCTTCACGTTCCTGCGCTTCCCGTTCCTGCGCTTCACGTTCCTGCGCTTCACGTTCCTGCGCTTCAGGTTCCTGCGCTTCACGTTCCTGCGCTTCCCGTTCCTGCGCTTCACGTTCCTGCGCTTCACGTTCCTGCGCTTCAGGTTCCTGCGCTTCACGTTCCTGCGCTTCCCGTTCCTGCGCTTCACGTTCCTGCGCTTCACGTTCCTGCGCTTCAGGTTCCTGCGCTTCACGTTCCTGCGCTTCCCGTTCCTGCGCTTCACGTTCCTGCGCTTCACGTTCCTGCGCTTCAGGTTCCTGCGCTTCACGTTCCTGCGCTTCCCGTTCCTGCGCTTCACGTTCCTGCGCTTCACGTTCCTGCGCTTCAGGTTCCTGCGCTTCACGTTCCTGCGCTTCCCGTTCCTGCGCTTCACGTTCCTGCGCTTCACGTTCCTGCGCTTCAGGTTCCTGCGCTTCACGTTCCTGCGCTTCCCGTTCCTGCGCTTCACGTTCCTGCGCTTCACGTTCCTGCGCTTCAGGTTCCTGCGCTTCACGTTCCTGCGCTTCCCGTTCCTGCGCTTCACGTTCCTGCGCTTCACGTTCCTGCGCTTCAGGTTCCTGCGCTTCACGTTCCTGCGCTTCCCGTTCCTGCGCTTCACGTTCCTGCGCTTCACGTTCCTGCGCTTCAGGTTCCTGCGCTTCACGTTCCTGCGCTTCCCGTTCCTGCGCTTCACGTTCCTGCGCTTCACGTTCCTGCGCTTCAAGGGGGCGGAGTCAAGGGACGGGGGCGTGTACAACAGGCCTGGGCACGCCTCCCTGGAAGGTACGTCATCAGCCCGAGCCGCAGCTCTGATCAGGGCACCATCGTTATTCTCCAGCATTAAAAAATGCATGTTTTCGTTTTATTAACTTTATTAACAAATGCACATGTGTATTAGCAGTGTTTGCTCAAGTTAAAGAAGTTGTTAACGTGAACATCTGCTGTTTACTTCTCTCAATGTGCACACTATTATAGCATTAAAATGTGTATTGTTTCATTTGGTTAACTAAAAGTGTTTGTTTAAAATCTCTTAACCTGTGGGAGGATGCCAGCGCACAGAAGCGCTCTTTGTTTACATGAGCTCAGAGTTACTACTAGTTTTAATGTTAAAGAATGCAATTAACTTCAGAAACTAACTTACATCATTAAAAAGGTCTACGACTCAAGCTTCATATCGATCTCGACTTCGTTTTTCATTTACATAACTCCTGGCATAAATTAAGAAATTACTGTAACTGTAAGTTTAAAAAAAAATGAAGCTATTTTTGTTTTAAAATTCTTTAAATTTCTCATAAATTTAATGCGTAAACAAATCCAAAGGCCATATCAACCTGGGATTATCAGATATGTATTTATTAATATTTTATTTTGAATTAAGAAATTTTAGATAAAAAAAATATTACATTATTAAATTATTATATTAACCCATGGCTGTTTTTCAAATGTAGGCTACACACATTACTGCGGGAAGTAGGGGTGCTGAGGGTACTGCAGCACCCCCTGGAGTGTAGCCCACGAAAAAATGGGGGTGCTGTGTTAAAAATAAATGAATGTAATAAAAAATAAATAATATTCATTTTATTAATTAGTATATTCATTAAAATTCATTGAAAAAAGTAGCCTAAGCCTACAATCACAAGCAATGGTTAAATATGAGTTAAGTTAAATCAAACTGACTGTGAAAGTCGTTTCAACTGATTAAACGTATTAAACTGACTTTAAAAAATCATTTGTTTCCATGATTTTTTGATTATATTATAACCTGTAACAATAATAATAATCTCGCATTCTCACATCTGTGGTGCTTATTCTGATATTTAACGTTAGGTCTTTCCTATTCTTGAAACAAAATTCATTCTTAAGGTTGATTCAATATTACCAATAGACCAAGCGGCAGCGGCAGACAGTGAGTTGAGCATTATGTTTGCTCAATTCAGCCTTCTCAAACCAACACGACTTGCCTAAAATAAACTGACATAAAACACTTCATGCATTTCACAGTATTCATTTAAACATTTAACCTAGATAAATGAGCGCTGTTAGGCGCATATCCAATCGTTTGAGCGGAGAGTGGAAGCTAAAGCGCGCGCTGCAGGACATGGAGGCGCCAGCGCAATCACTTGCATTTTACTTTTAATAACAGCGGAAATTTAAAAATACGCCGTGATTTTTGCTCATAAAGGTAATAGTATGCATCATTCGGAACCGCAAAGGGTCTACTTGTATTTGTGTGCACTCACAATATCAACAAAACCTTGTGCTTTTGTAAAATAAGGAAAACAAACAGGATGTGCTTTCTGTCGTCTTGGTCTTGAGCAGGAGCGCTTCACCCACATGATAAATATATCTAGAGAATGCTTTCAATTACTATTTTAAAACAAAATAATTCAAATCGTAAACAAAAAGTCTTTCATTATGTAATCCGTAAAGATGCATTTCTCTCTAAAGGCAGTCCGATGAGGATGGATAGTCAACATTGACTCAGAAAACATTAGTTTATTAACAAATAATTCAAATATCCCCTCACTATTTTTAACTTTTTTGTAAACTTTTTTGTTTGTTTTTTATTTTATTATTATTATTATTTTTGGGGGGGGCTGATGTGCCAAAATTGTGTTTGCATTCAGTAGCCTATATGGCAGCATTTTTTTTTTAAATAACTAAATAAATTAATTATTAACGTTATAATATTTTAAGAATAAAGTTAAAATTACGATAATAAAATCATGTTATATAATGTGACCACCCATAGGCCTACTCCTCCAAAAAAAAAAAAAGTCTGTGGCATCCGTCATTCTTTTGACTTTTTTGTTTTAGCTCTGATTGATCGATTCATGAGACATTCGTGTTGTTCTGATTTTTTTCAACATGCATTCACATATTCATGTTTATTTCGTGCTGCAATTATTAAAGAAGAAAATATAATTGATTCATATGCAGCTTGAACTGAGGCGAATTATCTCACT